CAACTGGTTTGTAACCACTTTAAAACAGTACTTTTTTTTTTTTTTTTTGATTTATTTCTCTTTTATTCACCGTATCTCATTATGGGGCTTTGCACATATTATAAACACAATAAATATTTGTTGGGGTTTTTAAAAACTCATTGAAAACATATTCTCTGGGGAAGTGTTTTCTATTTAAAGATTTAGATAACCTGCTATTTTCCCACCTACTTCAAAAATAAACTGACACACTTCTATTACAAACCTACCTCTTTTTATAGCCAGGCCCTTATAGAATAATATATTTCCAAAAAGCTCTAAGTGGCCACTTTCTGTCATGATGTTTCTTTTTAATTCTTTCAGGAGTTAATGTTTAAAAATCTTTGTGTCTGCGAAAGATAGGAGCTTGATGTTGTTTAAAGCTGTCTAGCGCAAAGTCATTTGGTGAAACTGACTTAATTTTAAGAACTAAGAAAAGTGAATGTAAAGACTAGGTGGTACTCCAAAATTAAAACAAAAGACTTGCTTTTTCTTTGCTTTTTAAAACCTCTTTAAGTAATGTGAAAAAAATTCACCCATAAAAGACCATTGCTTTAAAAAAATAATAATAATTTTCTTTTTCATAAAAAAAAAAACCTAGGTGATTCTAATAAAAGCACAATTATTTTTCTATATTCAGTGGAACTAAGACTAAAGTAATTTGAACTTGAGTTGTTCTCCCCTTTGGGTCTATGAGGGAGGCGGGAGAACCTATTGGTTATTGGTTTTACTTCCCGGAAATCTTCACTTCTCAGTCCTGGACACCTTGAAGTTTCTGCTCAGTATGCCTTTCTTGAGCACTTTGTTTAAAATTTCGCCTCTTCCTCTCCTGATGAGCACCCCCGATGCCCCTTTCCAGCATTCTCTGTCTCTGTCCTAGTTACCTGACTCGGCGTATGTTTTGTTTATTATTTGCTTTCAGCTGCTTTCTGCTCGTTGGTGGGAGCACCATGGCATGAGCACAGACTTTTGGGGGGAGGGTCCCTGTCCTGTTCCTGGCACGTGAGCACTGTAAGGGCTCACTAAGTGTTTGCTCACACACAAGCTTAGGCAGCACTTGTTTGAAGATTTCTCTGGATGGGTATTTGCAGATCTCTTGGTGGTTTAAAAAGCAGTTTCACATTAACAATTTTATCTTTTAGTCTTATAATAAATTTGTGTTTTGAGAAAAGGTTATGATCCCCATTCAGCAAATGGGGGAAAGGGCCTCAGAGAGTTCCTATGAATTATGCTAAGTGAGGGGCTAGCAAGTGGTGGACCCCAGCCTCGGACTCAGACTGATTATGTGCCTTGAAATGCAGTTACCACCCAGGCTGTGACTCTTATCTGTCTGATGGAATACAGCAAGGCTTGTAATAAGTATTGCTGAGTCAGGTCTCAGGAGAGTGGATTCCACAGAGTAACTAAGGATACAGTGTGGATGGATAACATGGGTTGGGAAGATCCCCTGGAGGAGAAAATGGCAACCCACTCCAGTATTCTTGCCTGTAGAATCCCATGGACAGAGGAGCCTGGTAGGCTACAGTCCATGGGGTCCCAAAGAGTCGGACACAGCTAAGCAACTTCCACCCTGATGGTCTTGATTGTGATGCCCTGTGTGCTGTGTGTGGTGACCTCTGGAAGCTGAAAGCGTTCTCCATGCGATGACCACCTCCAGGAGCCTCCACACACCTCTGCTTGCATTGCAGCTGAGCAGCACACCCTCTGCACTTCAGGCGTCTCCCCCTGACATTTCTGTTTCATGACAGCAGTGGGTAGGGAGGCAGTGCACTTAATGGTTAAAGATCAGAAACCCCATTACACATAGAACCAGGTAGAACGTGAAGCTTGACATGGTTGGAAGATTTGGGGGGCAATTACTCTGTCTCCTCATCTATTGGATTAGGTTGGTGGTACCAAGTTCTGATATGTAAATTAGATAATGCAAATAAAGCATTCATCACTGCTTTAGGTGTGATTATTGTGCAAATAGATGGGGGGAAAAGTGGAAACAGTGTCAGATTTCATATTCTTGGGCTCCAAAATCAATGCAGACGGTGACGGCAGCCATGAAATTAAAAATGCTTGCTCCTTGGAAGAAAAGCTATGATAAATCTAGACAGAGTGTTAAAAATCAGAGACATCACTTTGCTAACAAAGGTCCATTTAGTCAATGCTATGTTTTTCCAGTAGTCATGTATGATGTGAGAATTGGACCATAAAGAAGGTCGAGTGCCAAAGAATTGATGCCTTTGAACTGTGGTGTTGGAGAGAACTCTTGAGACCTCCCTTGGACTGCAAGGAGATCCAACCAGTCCATCTTAAAGGAAATCAATCCTGAATATTCATTGGAAGGACTGATGCTAAAACTGAAGCTTCAATACTTTGGCCACCTGATGCAAAAAGCTAACTCAGTGGAAAAGACCCTGATGCTGGAAAGGTTGAGGGCAAGAGGAGAAGGGGATGACAGAGGATGAGATGGTTGGATGGTATCACTGACTCAGAGGACATGAGTTTGAACAAACTCAGGGAGATGATGAAGGACAGGGAAGCCTACTGTGCTGCAGTTCATGGGGTCACAAAGAGTCAGACAGGACTTAGTGACTGAACAACCACAATTGTGTGTCTCATTATCTCTTCACTAGATTATAAAACCATAGAAGTTAAGGCACGTTACTGGCTTTATTAGTTTCCTAGGGCTCCCATAACAATGTCCCATTAACTGAGCAGTTTAAACAGTAAAAATTGAAAGTCTCACAGTTCTTGAAGCTAGAATTCCAAGATCAAGGTGTTGACCGGTTGGTTCTGACAACTGTGAGGGAGAATCCGTTCCGTGTCTCTGTGGGTTGCTGGAAGACTAGAGGCAGCCCTCCAGTCTTCACCTTCATCTTCAATGGCGTTCTCCCTGTGTGTGATTCTGTGTTTAAATCTCCCGTTTTTATAAAGACACTGGTCGTATTGGATCCGGTGCCCTCACTACTCTGGCACAACCTCATCTTAACTAATAGACCTGCAGTGACACTATTTCCAAGTCAGATCAACATTCTGAGGTCCTGGGGGTTTGGAAGTCAACATATAAATTTGGGGTGGAGGACACAATTCAACTCATAACATGGGATTTGGCACCTTTATATCTGTTGTATTTTACTTGTATTTATTAAGTTCCAGGGAATGGCTCCGGGACCCACTGGACTTAAATACAGGTCTCTAGAAGGCTCAGAGATAGAGCTACTTCCCAGCTTATTGGCCTTTTGAAAACTGCCTCTCCATCCAAAGTTTACTAGAAGAGAAACTTCCCTCCTGCTAGCTCCTCGCTGGGCTTTCTGTTTGATCTTTGGCTCAGAAACATATAACATGTCAAGGTGAAGATTTTGCTCAGGACTTTGCAAGCTAATTTTTAATGGATAGGTAGCAGTAATATATTTACATATAAAGATTTATGTGTGTTATTTATAGTTTAACATGTTAAAAGGTTTATTCGTCTACATATCTGGGTAACTCAGTGTACCTGTCAAAATTTTAAGTGAATGTCTTTTGTCTCACAGGTATGTGTTAGTAATAATGTATTAGTAATAAATGTGTTAATGTGTTAATAATAAATGATAGTTTCCCTCAAAGGCATCTTACTTTCTTTCTGATATGTATATAGTGTGATTATAAAGTAATGAGGGTGGTTCCACAATCTACACACATGCATATTGTGTATGCATTGCTGTATTCTATTGAAAACTTGCATGAGATATTCCCAGTATATAAATTGCAATACTGTACTTCACACATCCATATTCTTAAAATGGATATTCCCTCCACAAATCACTTGCTTAATACAGCAGAACTTTTGGAGTTGCTTTTCAGGCTTGTTTGTTTCAGGCTACATTTAAACATGCATTATATAATACATTCTCTAAATGGTTGGAGCTGAAAGTTTGAGTTGTTATAAATTTCAGGATTTGTTGTGATGGAAATGGGACTCTCCATAGAGCTTTGAATTTATAGAAAGTCTGCAAATATTTGTTAAATGAATGAATATATGAGTGAGTGAGGGGGTGTGGAGGAAGTGAAGGCATTTCTTTTAAATTCCACTTGAACCGATGGAATCAGTAACCTATGGTGAATATGATACTGAAGAGTGAAGGTAATATATTTAAAAAACACAGAAGCAAGTTTTAATTTTTTATATTGTCTTATTCCTGTAAGTTGAGCTTTGTCATGATACTTTATCTTGTCCCCCCACCCTCTACCCTGTGACTGATGGTTTCAAGCACTCTGCAGTGGAAGGGGTCTCCAAGAAAGGCAGTTTTAGGGGGAAGAGACACAAGGGATGCACATTTGCATAGGGCAGGAAGGGCACTGGAACATCTGGTGGTGGTGGCTGACTGGTACCATTTGTTAGCACTCATTAAATGCACATTAATGCGCGAGTTGCTCTGAATGTGTAAATGCCATTTCAGGTCAGTTCTGTTCTCCCAGGCCAACGGCAGTGACTTTGGGGGGCCTACCCCGGTTGTTTCCTTGCCGATGGCATCTGACCTGGGGTCAGACCTGCATTTAACCCTTTCCTGTAGGTCAAAACCAAATCAATGGGGTGAGGATGAAACTGGAAATGAGTGGTCTGTACAGCAGGTGTCCCCTGCGGAGAATGCACCGCAGGTGGAAACAGTTTAAGATCTGTTCCTGGCCCATCTCCGAAGAAGCTTCAGAGGTCACAGATGCAATTCCAAGACATCCCATGTGGCGGGGGGGCCTGGGGATAGATGGAACAGGTGCTGACTCGGAGCGGTTTCTCAGCAGTGTGGTGGGGGGACTTTCAAAGAGACCCCTTCTGGAGATAATGTGTCCATATATTCATGAGCACATATCTCAGCCATCCATCGTGGACTGATTTACTTAGAAGTTGCCCCGAGTGATTAGAACTTTACCCTCTGCCCCTACCTCCCACCAGCAACCAGAGATTTTGATTGGAAGGCAAGAATATAATGCATTTTTCTTTTTCTTTGTTCCAGAGGATGAGGATGATGAGGAAATGGTGGAACCTAAAGGGGGCCAGGATTCAGAACAGGAAAATGAAGACAAAAAGCAGGAGGTGAAGGAAGGTACGGTGTGGGAGAGAAATCAGTTTTATTGTTTTTGTTTTTGTAACCAACATAAGGGGGTATAGAGGTAAGTAAAAATTAAACATATGCCACCAGTATGGAAGGTTTTCTGGGATTGTTCAGTACATTACATGTAGCAGTATAAACTGGGTTCCTTTAGTTTTTGACTGACAGAAGCAAATAAAATACAAGTCATCCACAATTCCAGCAACAAGTCCAGTCATGATTCCTGTAAAATTATTACTAAATAGCAGTAAAACAAGATACTTGTTATTGATTGACATGTTACCTAGTTGGCTCCGTGTGAGCTATAGAGAAACATTAACCGTGATCGTCACTATGGTACATGCATGCTAAGTTGCTTCAGTCGTGTCTGACTCTGCGCGACCCTGTGGACTGTAGCCCACCAGGCTCCTCTGTCCATGGGATTCTCCAGGCAAGAATACTGGAGTGGGCTGCCATGCCCTCCTGCAGGGTATTTCCTGACCCAGGGATCAAACCAGCATCAGGCAGACTCTTTACCACTAGCACCACCTGGGAAGCCCAATGATCACTACTGACTGTGCTATAAATGTCTTCTCCATACTCTGCCCAGATCAGGAGCAGCCCCTATTTGCTCCGGTGCTACCAACGACTCATATTTAGTAAGGCTTACTAGGTGCTTGGCTGTCTCCTTAACACTCCAAAGATGTTATGCACCCTTTGCGACATCCTTTTGAAGCAAATACTATTATTGTCTCTTATCGTATAGACAGAGAAATAGGAAAAGAGAGGTTTAAAAACATACTCTGTATACATAATGTATAAGTACATGGCCTATGCCTAGAGTTGACACCAAAGCCTATATACTTCCCCATGATGCCCTCCTCCTGTCATAGCACTGGATTTCAAAACACAAGAAAGCAAGAATGTAAAAAGAATAGAGAGGGGTAGGCAAGAAATACTATAGCTGATGCTTCCTTACAAATCTAATTTTGTGTGCTTTTTGAGATTTTCGGCCTAAGGAGAAAAAGAGAATTTGAGATTGTCATTCTTACTGAGAAATGGAGTTATCTGTGAGAATGGACTCTTGCATGTTTCCTACTAAGTGTCCCAAGTAAACTTTAGAGCAGCAAAAGTCTAATTAGAAGCTCATTTTATTTTATTTTTATATTTATTTATTTTTAATTGATTGATGATTGCTTTACTGTATTGGTTTGCTTTCTGTCATAAATCAACATGAGTTAACCATAGGTGTACATATGTCTCCTCCTTCCTGAAAACTCATTTGATTTTTAAATTTTCCATTTGCCTGTGACTCTGGCACACATGGTTGTCCCCAGGGACTTTGTAAGAGTGGGTATGCACTGCTCATGCAGACTCACTCCACCCTGCCCAGGCATGAGTGAGGTGGCTTGTTTACTGCCAAATTCTAGGGTATGGCTGTAGACAGGTAGTAGATTCAGCGTCTTTAAGAGTGGCATTCACAGAAGGCCCAAGTTACATTTTCTGAGAGGTTGTAAAAGGATCTGATTGAAGCAATTTCACATTTAAACTCCTGCTAAGAATGTGGAAAGGCTTCCCTGGTGGCTCAGATGGTAAAGAATCTGCCTGCAATGTGGGAGCCCCACATTCGGTCCCCAGGCTGGGAAGATCTCCTGGAGAAGAGAATACCCACTCTAGTTGCTTGCCTGGAGAATCCCACGGGCAAGAAGCTACAGTCCGTGGGTCTCAAAGAGTTGGACACAACTGAGCAACCAACACTTTCACTTTCAAGAACATGTGTATGTATTTAAGCTGGTGAATAGTGCATCATTAACACAGGTGTAGCAAGAGACAAAGTAGGTCAGAGTTTACTAAAATGCTACTTTTTTTTTTTTAGCAAAATATCCTTAAGATGTCCTGGGTGATAAGGAGCCAGGGTATATTTTGTGTGTCTTGGCACAGATTCCCTACTGCCTCCCAATCCCAATCTCCAAACTGTCTTCTCTGGCAAAGCACTGCAACCTCCTTCTTAAGTTCTGAGCACAAACGCCCTCCAGTTTTAACTGTTACTCATGCTTTATGGAATTGATTAAAGTCCTGTTACAAGTCCAAGAGAAGTTTGAAAGTACATTTCCTGTTACTGCCATGCTGTGCATCTTAGGCTCTATTAACGGCTTTTCTGCACATTAGCACATGATGGGTTAAAAGCATGTTTATGTTGGCATCAAACTCTTGCTGGCTATTTTTTTTTAAAGCAAGATAGTATTTTGCACACTTTTAAAAGAATCTCTAGCAGATACGATCGTGGCGCCATTCACACAGCTGCATGGTAGGCAGGGCTGTGTCAGCACTTCCATAGGAACCCTGAATTTCAGGGATTTATTACTTAGCCATAAACATTTGCTCTGGGCTGAAGCTTGACATACATGGTTTCAAATCAGGGAACACATTTTTGAGAAATCTGGCCTTTTTTGGAATTAAAAAAAAAAGTGCCGAGGGGAAGATGGGAAAAAAAAAAATCCGTCCTCACTAGCTTTTGACATTTTTGCCCATGTGACATCAAAACGCATTAAACAGCAAAGAAATGTGGGTTCAATTTATTACTCTTCCCACTCTTTTTTTCACAACAGAGTTGGGGAAAACAGCAAGTACATTTTTAGCTTTTAATCAAATTTTAGGAAATTTTGGTATGTGAGTGTCCTAGTATTTTCATGTTTAGAAATTTAAAGCAACAGAATCAGAAACTTAGCTTCTGTAATTGCGCATTAACTCATAAACCTCACATTAACTTCAGAGAGGGCACCATTCTTTATTCAGTTTGGGTTTTCTTACTCTTGTTTTTGAACTGATTTCACTGTAAAATTCTCTAAGAACCACTGTGCCTTCTTAATCTGATTTAATATTTAAGTTATGTGGGTTTACTGATTTTTTTAATCTTTTGGATATATTTTTGAAAACTATTTAAAAGATGTGATTTCTACATTGACATTTAAAGCTACATCATTGAAAAAAGCATTTCTGAAATGGAGATTTTTCAAATTACTTAAAAATGAGATTGTAAAATATTCAATAAAAATTGTGGATTTCACTATGGATTTTACATTTTTACAGAGGAAAAAAAAAAACCCCAAGGAACTCTAGACATCAAAAAATATAGTATATAGTAAATAGAGTAAATCAAAAAGAAGCTGAAAAAATACACATTCAGGTCAATAAGAAAACTCAAGAAAGTACAGCAGATAGGATAGGATCAATATAAGAAACACATACAAAAAGCATTGTCATATACAAAACCAAGACAAATTAGGATTTTAGTAATAAAAAGAATAAAAAATAGACCCTAAAATAAAATTCATACTAAATTTTAATTTTTTCAGGCTATGAATTCATAGAAATTGGGCAGTTTTCTAAACTTTGAATTTCATGACTCTAGTGCCTTGTTTTCATACTTCTTATTCAAGCTAAATGTAACTGTTCAGGTAAATTTTGGTAAGTTTGAAACTTGTCCTGTTATTTGGATTATATGAAAGTAATATCCACATGTTCTAGTTTTCCTGAAGAATCTTTATTTCTTAAAAAAGATCACTTTAAATGCATAAAATATTGTTAGCTCTTGGCAGAAATACTCCATGTTGCAAAAACGAACAACAAAACCTGCTATAATAGCACCTTCTGCTTAACTTGTAAGAATAATCAAACATTACTGTGGTCCTTGTTTTTCTCTGGTATGCCTGTTGCTATTAAATTAATTCCTACCTTTTCATGCAGTTAAGATGTTGAAAACAATTCTTTAGGTTCCAGGGATAGGGAAGAAGTGAAGAAACAGAAATTTCAGGGAGAATTTGAGGTCTATCCTAGAGTCATACTATTCTGGTTCAAATTGTTTATGCTTGCTTGTATTTTAAATTTTGTGGACTCCATTAATCAACTAATTTTCTTCTCGTGAAATATAATGTCTGGAGAGGTTTTGTCTCCTGAATACTGATATTGGTTGTGGTTCTTGGATAGTCCATTATGTTTTCATTACATTGTCATAAAACATCAATTTAAAGATTTTTAAATATGAGAGGTTTGGGGTTTTATCAAACATAACTATGGCTCTGTTTAACTCCTAAGTTGAATATTGTTTATGACTTTTAAAAAGTACTCATCTATTATTTTATGCTAACAAATCATGTCATTTGATCTCTGTTAGACATCAAAGCATAATATAAAATACATTCTTTGTTTGGGTTCTGTAGCAATTTATTTTCAACCCAAATATTGTATTGTCAAACATACTGTCTGGAGAGGCTACTGCTTCAGTTACCTGAGCTTGGCTTCTGCAAATACACTTTGATCAGCCGTTTATGTTTCTTTTAGACAAGAAGTTGTATGTCTTGAAAGCTGAGATCAAAATGACAATAAACTACAGGGAAAAAAAATTACAGAAAATTAGACAGGAACTATTTTTTATTCAAAGTAATGGACCTGTAAGGAAAGATACAGGTGGAATAAAAGTAACTCAAAAAGATAAACAGAACAGAATAGATATTTTTAAAATATAAAAATAGGAATAAAGTGGAAAATTCCCATTTCTCTGTGTAATTTCAAGTGTGTTTCAAGTCATTCATAAGCAGTGACTAAAGTCAAATGAAGCTTTGTAAAATAAAACATTCTTCTTGAAGTAATACACAGTGTCCTTTCATTTCATTCTGTAGCTATCAACCTGTGACCTAACATTGTGAAATAATTCTTTCACTATTTTACCATTCCAAGAAATTAACGTATTCACAGACCCCCTCTTTATTTGCTCCAAGAAATTCTGTCCTACAAATGTGGTTTGAATAACCGCATACTTTGCCAACATGTTTCTCATTAAAAATTATGTTTGCTTTAAAAAAAAAAATTCTTCTTGACCTTGTAGTATTCTAGTTTAGTGATGCTTATTTATGTAACAGTAGTGACCAAAGATTGAAGGCAGAAGGAGAAGACAGCAGCAGAGGATGAGATGGTTGGATGCATCACCAACTCAATGGACATGAACTTGGGCAGACTCTGGGGGACAGTGAGGGACAGGGAGGCCTGGCGTGCTGCAGTCCATGGGGCCGTGAAGAGCTGGACAAGACTCGGTGACCGAACAGCGACAGCAGCAGCCGACGGAAACAAAAGGAGCCTAGCATTGTCCCCTTTCCTAGTTTCACCAAAATAATTTTTTTGAAGTTATATAAGGGTGAAAATTTTACATGCATTATTTATGGGTGTTTCAGAAAGTAGACAAATTATATTTGGGGCAAGATGGTTGGATGGTATCACCAACTCAGTGGACAGGGGTTTGAGGGAACTCTGGGAAATAGTGAAGGACAGGGAGGCCTGGCATGCTACAGTCCATGGGGTTGCAAAGGGTTAGCCGTGGCTGAGCAGCTGAACAACAGCTAATTATTGTGAATGTTCAACTATTCGCTGAGCTTCCCCAGTGGCTCAGCGGTAAAGAATTCACCTGCAGTGTAGAAGCTACAGGAGACACAGGTTCAAGCCCTGGGTCAGGAAGATCCCCTGGAGGAGGGCATGGCAACCCGCTCCAGTATTCTTGCCTGGAGAACCCCTTGAACAGAGGAGCCTGGTGGGCTGCAGTCCATAGGGTCACAAAGAGTCGGATGCAACTGAAGCGATTTCACATGCACGCAACTATTTGCTAGTATGTTTATTTTTAACTCTTAAAGCAGACTTGAAGTTTAGGTATCATTGCCTCACTTTATAGATAACACTGCTGCTTAGAGAGCTTTCACTGATCGAAGAATCCAAGTTAGCAAATGGCATAGCAGCTCTTGGATTCCAGGTCGATTTTATAGAGTTCTGGTTATTTATGGTTTACATACAGCCTACCTCACTATTTCTCAAACTAGTGTCTGTGTAGCGTTTCTCAGCAGATGTTGATGGAGGTTCCTATAGAGTCCCAGTATAGAAGGCATATTTGGGGCTCTGGAGATTTCAGCAACAAAGAAATCCTCCTGCCTCTTAGAATTGCTGGGGTGAACTATATTTGGAGATTACCTTCTGCTTAGTGGATGAATCATGTTTTTGTTATAACATCACCTGGAGAGCATTTTATAAGGTGTGAACCAACTACGTCATAATCATTCAAGTTTCTTGTTCAAATACAGACTTTGGAGTCTGGACCCTCTTTCACTTTGGTTTGGGGGCAGAGGAGGGCAGGCCAGAATGGGGGAGACATTCTGAACATTGCAGGTTTGAGATCTATCTCCACAGCTCTGCAAAAAGACTTCCCTCCCCCTTATTTATTTCTCTCATCCAGTGGGTCACCAGTTCTTAGAAATCGTACAAGAATCTGCTCTCTTTCCACCCCTACTTTCACTGGTTAGGTTCAAACCCCCATTGTTTCTTTCCTGAACTATTACCATATCTTCCCAATTGGTCTCCCCATTTTTTTAATGTATCTATTCTTTTTCATACTTTTGCCCATTTTGGTTGTTCCATAATACTGAGCATAGTTCTCTGTGCTATACAGTAGGTCCTTGTTCAGATTTCTCAGGGCACTGGCTTCAAGATACCTTTAATCAAGTCAAATAACTCTTCCATAAAACCTTATGCTGCAGGTGACTGCACCTAAATGATTCCTCTGACCCTGTAGCCTGGTAAACATTGGTCCTAGTCATGAGGATGGTTGTAGAAGTGTTTGTAAAAGCCTGTGGGTGAGTGATTCCACCAGGGACCCCCATGGTTTTAATGCACTTCCCCTCTCCTGAGGTTTAAACTTCAGGAGCTTCTGATCCTACTGGAAGAAGAATCAAACACTTATTGAAGTCTCTTTGCACGGAAGTTGAAATGGAGTTCCTGAAGAGCCACAAAGTTTCAGCTGACAGTTTCTGCCTTAGGGATTTCTCATTCTGGGGCAGTTCCCAATGCTTCCTTTATAGGTTTATGTGAACTTTGCTACTGAAGGAACAGTTTCTGTAACCTAATCCTGACTCTGAGGTGAGCTGACTTTCAGACACTGTGACATACTGCTAGTTATGTAGTCTCTCTTGGCCTCATTTTGTATCTTCAGATTTAGTTTTATATGATTGATCATGCTAGAAAAGTAAGGCATAAAAGCAATTGTGAGGTATCTTAGAGCATTTATTTGTTTCATGTGTTTGTTTAAAAGCAGAAGATACCTTGGGTAAAGTTGGGTTTGCAAGGACATGCTTTAGTTTTTGAGGGGAATTTATATAACAGTCTATCAACCATATCAAGTAACTATCTAAAATAAAATGAATTTATCAGTAGAAAGAGGCAAGGTGCTATCTGAATCGTGTTATAGATAGTTCTTAATTATTTGGTAAGTGCAGCTTAACCATAGCTTTACAATCTAATATACATGGTTTTACAGATAGCTCTACTATGTACTATTTGAGCTTTTTTTTAACTTCAGTTCAAAAGAAAGTAACATTCAGAGCTGATTGTTAAAACACACAATCATCTTCATTTGTAAAATTTTTTCAAATCTTCAAAATAGTAATTAATCCAGATATGACATCTTTTTGCAAAGTTGGCAATGAAGACATCTGCAAAAAACCTTTGGTGTGAATTTAAGAGTAATTTAGAGTTAATGTTAACAATGGCTTATTTTACTGTGTCCTATTTCTCTTTTGATAAGCAGTGTCTTTCAAGAGTTAGATTCCTCTTGAAATGTTTTAATTATCCTTTTTTTTTTTCTTTCCCAATGATCTCTTTTACATAAAAAAGCTCCTCCAAGGGAGCTGACAGAGGAAGAAAAGCAGCAAATCCTCCACTCAGAGGAGTTTCTCATCTTTTTTGATCGGACAATACGGGTAATTGAAAGAGCCCTGGCAGAAGACTCCGATATCTTCTTCGACTACAGTGGTCGAGAATTAGAGGAAAAAGACGGGTTAGTTTCTTGTGTGCAGTTAAAAAAAAAGTACTGTGATAAGTTATCTGTTGCTTCTAAACTCATTTATGTTTTAAGTAGGCAAGTTGCAAGCCTGACAAATCAGAAGACTGAAATTCCAGAGCTGATCTTGCTGAACAGCTCTGACTGAGGGCTTTGGTTATGATTTCTGGCTTAGAGTTTCCCTGTAATTATCATGTGCTTCGGTGAAATGCTTTTGAACTTGATATCTGGGGGACAGTCCAGGTGATGGAGACTGGTAGAGTCATGTACATTGTCCTCTGAGAAAGCATCCTTATAAGCAGTAAGAGGAGATTTATGTTCTATCCAGTAGATCTAGTTTTGATGTCTAAGCAAACAGGAAGCTGAGGAAAATAAACATGAGATCCAGGAGAACCTTAACTGATGTGCAAGACAACAAACAGAGACTGGCCACCTTTTGCTCTTTTGATACCATAAGATTATGTATATATGCCTTTTAGGAAACACATGTGCAGGGGTGTATTTACATATTAAGAAAACTTGTCTATAAAACCATGGCCCTAAACAACTTGCCCTGTGACTTCAACATGTGTATTGTCAACCATCCTCACGTGAATAAGAGGAGGCACTTCATGAGCTTTGTAAAGAGACAGAACTGATTTTTAGCCACCAGTTTCTCTTGGCCAGGAACAATATGAAAAGATGAGATCACCTGCTGTTTTCATCAGACCTGACATTTTACTACTAAAATTCACATACATTGTCAAAGGCCAACCTATCGTCATTGAAGATGCTCACTGCCGTGTAAACAGGTTCGAAAGGGAGTTCTGAAAGTGTTCTTAACAGTTGATAGTATTGATAGATGATATCAAAGAGACAGTATTTTGAATATACATGTTATATTTGTTTAATTTTAAAAAGCCATTACTCTCTGGCTCATTTAATATTCTGAGCCTGTTTCCCTCTGGGTGCCTGGCACAGTATTATCTTGGGTGTATGTACCTCTTGGGGCTTCCCAGGAGTCGCTAGTGGTGAAGAACCCGCCCGCCAATGCAGGTGATGCAAAAGACGTGGGTTTGATCCCTGGGTCGGGAAGATCCCCTGGAGGAGGAAGCGGCAACCTACCCCAGTATTCTTGCCTGGGAAATCACATCAACAGAGGAGCCTGGCGGGCCACAGCAGTGGGGTTGCAAAGAGTCAGACACAACTGAGTGACTGACACTTTACTTACTTGTCTGGGTTTGCAGTGGTGGAGCTGAGGAAGAGTTAGCTAGGGGAAAAGAAGTCGTATTAAGTCAGCTCCTCGGAACCCAAATACCTAGCCAGAGATCCAGTCACCCAGTCGGACAAGTGGTGCAGGGTGCGAGGCAGTAGAACAGAAGAAAGAACGGAAAACTAAGGTGAGGGGGGAGGAATTCCTGAACTGAAGCCCGAGGAGTCTAGATAGCTTTTTAATGTGGATCCAGTAACGGCTGACACGGAACGAGTATGACCCAACTTAAACACACAGCGTTGTGGAGCAAATGTAGGCTCAGTGCAGAGTTCTTCAGAGGATGGTCTGTAGCCAGTTGAACATCAGTCAAAAAAACACTGGCCAACGTGTAATCCTCCGCCACCCAGATGCTATGTTGGTCTATATTAAGTATCTACAATGTTTGGTGAATCCCTCACCCCGCCCGCCCCCCAGCAGGCCTGTCTCAGGGTAGAACTTTTCACTTGCTATTGCACAAGGAGGCAGCTGCTACAGTAAACCAGAAATTATAGGTAAAGTGAAACATGCGTATCACTTCTGGTCTAAGGCCAGATAAGGTGACACTGATGTCAAAGAATCTCCCGGAGTGCTGTGCTTCCTTGATAGCTGGGAGATTTCTTGTAAACTCTGCTTCAAAGCAGAACTTTTTAGGACCACCCCTGTGATCCTCATGGTCATGCTCTCAGTCTCTGTTCTTCTGGACACACTCTCTGTGGAAAGAGATCTCTTCTACTGCTGTTGATTCAACCATCACAGGGGCTTTAGAACTGGTCAAGATGGGAACCTGAAACAAATTTGACATCTCACACCAGGCTTGGAACAACATGTGGAAACCTCATCTGGGCTAGTTAAGAGAGAGCTTTGCATGAAGGAGACCACCTTTAGTGGCCATTTATGATCAGCGTTTGCTCCCTAAATTGATGCTTTGGCTTCAGAGTATTGCGTGCCATGGTCTTGCCATTTTGTCCTTTCAGTATGAGCCATAGAGATAGAACCCCATTTTGAAGCATCTTATTTGTCTTTGATCTTTAAACCCTCCTAGGGACGTCCAGGCTGGAGCCAACCTCTCTTTCAATCGTCAGTTCTATGATGAGCACTGGTCCAAGCATCGAGTCGTCACTTGTATGGACTGGTCTCTCCAGGTAAGAATTATTGTTGTGTCGGGACAGACTGGACTTGTGTTCTCGTGGCATTTGTATACAGTAAATAAGAGAGAACTGCCTTGCTACTTTGGATGTGTTCACTGACCCACCGTTTTCTTGTATGCTTATGGTTTTCTTTCTCGTTTTGCTGAAGTTTCCGTTTAAATTTGCACTCTGTTATTCATATCCATTGAGTACTTACTCTGTGCCAGGTGCCAGCCCGGGAGCCAGGCCGTTCTTTCCATGAAAGCACGCTCACTAAGGTTGCCAGTGCTTTCCTGCTTGTCAGATCCTGTGGATGTGTTTAAGCCTTCATCTGCCCTGACCTCTCTTTGTCACCCAGCTTTGTTGACTCTCTCTAGCTTCTGAAACTACTCTCCTTCCACTGAGCCCTACAACTCGATTCTCTTCTAGTTCTTGAACTCCCCTGAGACTTATTTTTCCCTCTTCCACCCCTGTGATCCTCATGGTCATGCTCTCAGTCTCTCTTCTTCTGGACATGCTCTCTGTGGAAAGAGATCTCTTCCACTGCTGTTGATTCAACCATCACATGTGCAGCCTTTTTCTATCCCCACCCAAAATCCCTCCTGGATTCCACTTTACACCCCAGAGAGACAGATCCATTCAGGTGTCCCATAGAATGGCAGACTCATCACTAACTCTATTTCTACACATCCAAAGTTCTTTTTTGCCTTTTCTAAACCCTGAATAGTCATTGGAAGGACTGATGCTGAAGCTGAAGCTCTAATACTTTGGCCACCTGATGCAAAGAGCTGACTCATTGGAAAAGACCCTGGTGCTGGGAACGATTGAGGGCAGGAGGAGAAGGGGGTGACAGAGGACAAGATGGTTGGATAGCATTGCCGACTCAACGGACATGAGTTTAGGAGATAGTGTAGGACAGGGAGGCCTGGCATGCTGCAGTTCATGGGGTCACAAAGAGTAGGACATGACTCAGCAACTGAACAAAAACAACAATTCTATGTTAAAGCCATCACAATATACCCAAGGGCCTAAAGAACTTTTCGTCATTAACATTAAAAACTTCCTCTCCTTTATGTCCCAGACTTAGTCTGTCACCAAGACTGTCCATTTCTCTACTCCTGTATTTATTATCTTACACTTGTAGTATTGCTAATCTTCTCATGGTCTTTCCACACCCAAACTTGTCCACCTATAGTTTTCTGTCTAGACATCTAGCCAAATAAGCTTTCTAAAATACGGATCTGATCACTTTACTCCCTGGATTAAAACTCCCTGTTGCCTGTAAGAGAAAAAATGAGAGCAAACTAAACTCCCTAGTGTAGCATTCCTAATGAAAGCACTAAACTCCCTGGTGTAACGTTCCTAGTGAAAGCAGGCAGATTTACCAAAAGCCATTTTTCCTGAATGGCCAACTCACTGAGCGTGTCATTGACCCAGCACTGAGAAGTTAAAAAATGCCCATCAGGGTACACAGCTTAACTGTGGTTAGGGCAGGCTATGAACTCAGGTGATCTAACTCATGAGCTTGTCTTCTGGGTGATCATGCTGTGTTCCCGCCTGTAATGACAGTGATACAATAGCAATGAGGGAACTAGGAATGATAAATACTGGGCATATATACATAGCACATTTTCCACTTTCTTTAATCTGTGCTTTTATTGGGAATAGTAATCATGGCTAGCTTCTTCCTCTGTTTTTCAGTTTTGGCTTCACTGGGTCTTCACTGTGGTGCACGGGCTTCTCGTTGCAGAGCTTGGGCTCTAGAGCACGCAGGCTCAGTAGTTGAGGCACACAGGCATCTTGAGTTACAATACATGGGCTTTAGTTGCTCCCAGGCACGTGGGATCTTAGCTTTCCAACCAGCGGTTGAGCCCACATCCCCTGTATCGGAAGGCAGATTCTCAGCCACGGAATCACCAGGGAAGTCCCCATGGCCAGCTTTTAACTTGTTTCTTATATGTTAAGCACTGTGCCAGCTATTCTGAAGGCATTATGTTATTTCACCCTCATAACATCAAGCTTCCTGGGTGGTGCTAGTGGTAAAGAACCTGCCTGCCAATGCAGGAGTCATAAGAGATGCAGATTGAATCCCTGGGTCAGGAAGATTCCCTGGAGGAGGGCATGGCAACCCACTCCAGTGTTCTTGCCTGAAGAATCCCAGGGACAGATAAGCCTGGCAGACTGAAAAGTCAGACAAGAGGTTCTAAGTGCTGAATGATGTAGGGCTGATAGCAAGTGTTTTCAGGGTTCAGTGGAGATTGGAGTCTGTGCCTCTGGTTGGACAGGGTGTCTTAGAAGACTGGGATTAGAGAAAGGGAGGGGAGAAGAGAGTGTTCCCGGCAGAGCAGTGAAGCGGATGATGTGAAGAGAGAGCCCCATGTAATCGTGCTGGGGAACAGAACACTGAAGAGGAATGTAATCCCCCGCAACCAGACTGTCAATAGCCACAAAGTGGGCGAGTGCTCTCTTGAATCTCCTCTTACATCCGAACAAGAGAGCACGCAGGGCACAGTTGTGCCGAGGCTGATGCAGGCAGGGGTGTACCCAGCCGCTTGCTGCCCGCCGGCGCGTGGGTGGTCTGTGAGCACGCTCGGCTGTGTGTGCAGAAATCAGATCCAAGGTGGAGGAAACACTTAGTGCGGCTTGTTCACTTGTTCACAGCCTGGAGATTACACAGGAACCTTATCTGACACATTCCTAAAGGGCAGCTTTTACTGAGTCCCCAGGTCTGCTGGTAACGCTCCTGGAGGAGGTGGCGGGACCCTCGCCGGTAGGTAGGGCTGGTCCCCAGCTGGCCTCGGCACGGGGCCGACATCTGCCTGTTGCCCACAGGGAGATGTGTCTCCACACAGGATCTTGTTGCAGGAAGTGAAACTGGAGAGGGCAGAAGTTCCACCATAGAGACTCTATATCGGTTTTCCCCCATTTTCGTGTAATCTGTCATCTACACTGTGGGGAAGGGGTTTGCAATTCTGAAGACTGTATTTTATATGGAGCAGAAAAAGGAACGAGAATCCTTAGTTCCAGAGTAGCGTTGACATATACACACTCCCGTGTATGCAGTAGATAGCTAGCAGGAAGCTGCCTTATAAGTCAGGGAGCTCAGCTCCAGGCTCTGTGAGGAGCTAAAGGGGTGGGTGGGGGCTTGAAGGGAGGCTCTAGAGGGAGGGGCTGTATGTATACATAGAACTGGTTCATGTTGTTGTATGGCAGGAACCAACACAACACTGTAAAGCAATTATCCTCTGGTTAAAAATAAATTTTAAAAAAGGATAATAAAGGAATTTGATGAACACGACACCAAAGAACCCTTAGTTTCTACATCGTAACAATTTAGTGGAGTTCAAAGGACCAACTTTACATACTTATGGGATGAAGAAACTCTCTGAGTAAATCTATATGGAATCCAGTGATGTTCAGAAAGAGGAAAAGGACAGAGGCATAGTCTTCGAGTCCAGTAGAGGCGTGTGTACTTATGAGTGCAACAGAATGGACAGGGTTGGGGGAAGGAAGAAACCATAAGATTCCTGCATCGCTTTGCTTTGAGCTCCTGGATGAAAGGTCTCCTTGGTCTTCTTCCTAAATGAGAACACTTTAACTTTGCAATATTTGCAAAATAGCCACCAGTCATTATCCCCTGAAGCACATTTGGGCACTTGGGGAATTATGCCAACTTTGCTGTTCATCAAATATTAACAGAGGGAGTCAGTAATACTGTGCACATTTCACATGACAGATTTGGCAGTTGTATACAAAACCAGATTTATGATCTTTCTCCCACCCTGTATATTCCGGTCACGTGTGATTTGCGTCCTCTAACCTTGGAGTCATTCAGTATACAAACACAAGTAATCTTTTTTATTGAAGTTGTTGATTTACAATGTTGTGTTAATTACTGATGTACAGCAAAGTTGTACATATATATGTGTGTTCTTTTCTCTGTTATATTTCATTGTGGTTTATCACAGGATATTGAGCATAGTTCCCTGTGCTATACAGTAGGACTTTGTTGTTTATCCATTCTATACATAATAGCTTACGTCTGCTAGCACCAACTTCCCTCTATTCCTCCCCAGTCCCCCCCTTCAACCACTCACCCTTTCAAGTAATCTTTGATAGCTCATTTAATTGCCAAACCAAGTCAAATTTATGGTAGCATAAAGACCCCCACTGTCACCAGTTCAAATCTACTTACCTGTGGAATTGATACCTAGTTTATGTCATGCCATCTTTTTCTTGCTTCTATCAGAAAATAGCTTCCTATCTGGCCTTCCTGCCTCAATTCTCTACGCTGTTGAATCATTAAGTACTTTTTCCAGGTTACTATTTGTAATGATTACTTACTTGCTGTCAATGTCACCTTGAGCAAGTGATCTGACTTCTCTTGGCTTAAGTTTCCTCATTCACAAAATAGTAATCAAACTTTGCTTATTGTGAGTATTAAATGAATTAATGTACTTTAAAAACTTAGACTTTAGTAAAGTGTCTAGTATAGTAAAAGTGCTCAATAAATGTGGCATAGTAGTGAAAGGAGTGGTCTAATTAGAAATATTAACAGTTGCAGAGTATAACTCCCAGTGTAAAGTCTAAAATCATTAGCCTATATTCAGTAACTTCTTGAGAATTAAGAGTTCTAGAATATTCTTGAGAATATCTTGAAGCATCTCCAGCCCTTTAATCTTTTTCAGCTCTTTGCCTAACCTGCCTCCCAGCCAGGTGCTGTAACCTGTGTCCTCAATGTGCTCTCCAATGCATTAGTTAAGAAAAATTTAGCCCTGGCTACCTTCCGCAAAAAGAGAAATTTATTCTAGTCACTAGGGTACTCAGGGAAGCCATGGAAAAGACAAAGAACTGGGACTCAGGAGTATAAATCTGGGCAGCTCGAGGAGCTTCACCAATAGAATGCTGTCCTTACCTGACTCATTTGCCACCCAGGGATTCTGTTTCTCAGTGCAAAATTCAGTGACCGAGGTAGAGAATGGGATCGGCCAAGCTGGGATGAGTGAACTATCCCTGGGAGGTTAGACGCCTGTGTATTGTAGTTTCCAAGGATTGGGAGAATGATTGTGGACCAGGCCGGTTCCCAAGAGAAATCTGCATCCATGTTTGTACCTTCGTCTATGCTTCTCTCTTTCCGCTCTCCTAATCACTTTCCCAGGTGACAGGGCCCAGTCAATCTCATTTCTTCTCAGAAGTCCTTTTCAATCCCTCTCCCTGGCATACCACATTCCAGCTGACGTGGTTATTTATCCTCTGTGCTTTGATAGAACTCCTTTCCTATCTCCCATCTTAGCATGTTCTGCTCTTCTATTTGTGTTGTAGTTTTTTATATGTGTGTCTTACCTCCTTCTACCAAATGGTGAGTGCCTATAAAGCAAAGCATGATACTGTTGATATTCTTGTCCTGCATTTTGTTTACTTTTTTCTTAGTGTGGTAAAAGTCACATAATATAGAACATACTATTTTAACCAGATTTAACTGTACAGTTCAGTGGTGCTAAGTACATTCACATTGTCGTGCCGCTCTCACCATCATCTACCTCCCGAATTTTTCAGCTTCCTAAACTGAAATTCTTTCTCCATTAAACACTAAGTCCCCATTCCCCCTTCCCACTCCCCACCCCCAGTTCCTGAAATCTACCAATGTGCTTTCTTTCTTGTCCCACATTTTACCTATCACCAGTGCCTTACATAGGCTTCCCTGGTGGAAGAATCTGCCTACAATGCAGGATACCTGGGTTTAATCCCTGGGTTGGGAAGATCCCCTGGAGGAGGAAACGGCAACCCACTCCAGTATTCTTCTTGCCTGGAGAATCCCGTGGACAGAGGAGCCTGGTGGGTTATAGTCCATGAGGTTGCAAAGAGTTGGATATGACTGAGTGACTAATATACTTTAGTGCCTCACATATGCTTGGGGGCCACTTGAGGCATGCCACAGTGTGAGAGATGTGGTCTTGAAAGAAATAGACTGCAAGCAGGATCTCACTTTGTCATTTATTAGCAACTTAACTTGGAACAAACTCCTTACCCAGTTTCTTACCTGTCTGTAGAAATGGGAAAACCTGTTGCTTACTTTAGAGAACTGCAAGAATCAAATGAGTGAACATGTCACCCAGCCCCGTGTTGGATGCATAATGAACACTTAAAGCATGTTGGTTCCTTCCTCGCTAGTAAATGTCAGATTTTATTTTTTTATAAGAACAAACAGCTTGAGAGCAGATCTGGCAGTTTCCGAGTAAAATTCCCCTAGGTTAATGATGAGATAATTCAGCCCTGTGAATAATCACAAACTTCCCAGTAGCTGATATTCTCTTTAAAATAATAATTTTAATATTTAAATAATCATGCAGAGAATGACTACTTTTTGTTGGAAAATAAGAAAATATTGATTAGTCATGTTCAAACAAACATACTAGAGGAGACTTTGAAATCACAAACACTTTCATGACTTAAGAGTTAATCAGTATCTTTAGGCCTTTTGATCCCAGTTATAGAAATTACACCAAGAGCATTTCACTGGTATTTGATGAAAACTCTCCCTGTTTTCTAAAAGAGTTTTAAACCCAATAATTGAAGATTTTTTTTTTAAAGTGGGAGCCAGCGATGAGACCCAGATGTGAAGCTGTGGGATATTATTCCAGACACATCTGGCTGCTCATTGGCCACTGTGGGAGTGGTGTTGATGTTTATAGAGTTGCCTTTTCACATGTGACATAGTTAAACTTCAGATGGACAGTCTGGAGACTTCTGTGTTTATCTGGATGTTAGTTTCTTTGAATGGGCTTTGAATCAAAGGCCTTTCTTAATAGGCCTTTGATTCATCCGCTGAGGAGTGTTTTCTAATAAAGAATGATTACTTCCCCTGGTGGCCACATACATGTGTATCATTGCAGACTTCTACTTCCTCTGTACCAACTGGCAAGTTGTAACTCTCTGCAGCTTTCTTAAGCTGGGGGAGTTCAAAGAATGAATAAAACACATAGAAGACTCAGGCTTAATTATTTTTGATAGGAAAAAAAGCTGATGTTCAAATTTTTACTGACAAACTTATGTTAAATATATACAGTATAGTGAATAAGAAGGAAAAAAACTAAGCTATCCGTGAGCAGAGTGGCATGATCTGTCATAATCCTGATAATCCTGATACTATATTTAATGGGGCTGCCTTATGGAAATCCTGGGTAGGAATGACATTTTCATAAAATGTACTCTAACTCATAAATACCTGCCGTGAGATCCAACCTGTTTATTTCTAACACTCAACACAGAGTTCATGTATGGTGAGTAGGTATTTCTACTTGCTGTAGAGTCCTCTTAGTGATTTTACTACTTGAGTTTCTTTTACTGGAGCTTTTAATTGTTGGCATTATTTAACAACAAAGGATTAAAGATAGGATCTTGCCGCTGAGCACAGAGTCACTGACATAATAAAGGTTATTTGTAATTCAGTAGATTTTGGCACAAGTTTATCATGCTAGGACTTACTAGGCCTGGATTTAGAGGTCAATAAAACCAAGCCCCTACCCTCAAAGAGCTTACAATCTAGTCATGGACATAGACTGGGAAAAGCCATAATACAGTTTGACACGTGTCTTAATATGGGGACATACATAATGCTAAGGGGGCTGATGAGAGGCAGTGAGGGGTGGTGAATGATTAGGTAGGATTGTCTGGAAGACTTGATGCCTACATGGAGTCTTAACGAATAAGTTAATGATGTGACCAATGCGGGAGAGGCTTTTCAATGAGAGTGAGTGTCAACTCATGGTATAGAGGCTGTACCTATGAACCTCAGAACTAGCCCAGTGAGGCTGGGTCATAGGCAGGGGTTGGGAGGAAGGAGGGTAAGTTGTAAGAGATTAGGCAGAGAAAGTAGAAGCTAACAGATCACTTGTGCCCAGTTGCTCACTCATGTCCAACTCCTTGCAACCCCATGCACTATAGCCCTCCAGGCTCCTCTGTCCATGGGATTTTCCAGGCAAGCATACTGGAGTGGGTTGCCATTTCCAAGAACAGACCATGAAGGATCCTAAATGACCAAGATTTTATCTTGAAAGTAATGATGAGCCATTAAGCTATTCTAAGCAGAGAATTGACTTAGCCAAATACACGTTTTGTAAAGTCATATCGACACAGGATAGAGAGTGGAGAAGGTGAGGGCGGGGCCTGGCGAGCGGAGAATCAGAGAGTCATTTAAAATAGTGTTGTCTTCATCCAGACAAGAAATTCATTTAGGAGCGTCTGACCTTGAGGATAGAAAGAAGCCTGCATTTGAAAGGTACTGAGGAAGTACTGAATCAGCATGTAGAGAAGAAAGAGGGAGGAGTAAAAATGAACATGGAGTGTCTGGTCCAGACAGTCAGTACAAAGTCCTAATGGGATGAATGTCGAAACATTGGAAGAGTGGTAGATTTTTGTAGAAGGCGACAAGCTTATTCATTCTCCTGTGCATTGCATCTGACGTGTCCACGGACAGCCTTGAGAAATCTCCAGTAGCTGTAAAATGTGCACCTTAGAGAGCAAGCCCAGAGATAAATATTTGAACATTGTCAGTATAGAATGCTAATTAAAGCTATTGACGAGATCACCAGGGAAGAATGTGGAAAAAGAGATCAGCAAGAGAACAGAAAACAGCCCCAGTCCCCCACAGGTAATAGAAGGAACTGTAGAGGCTAAAAACAGTGGTTCGGAAGAGTGGGAGAGAAAGGTGTCATGGAAGCCAACATAGGAGAAAGGAGGAAGTGGTCCAAATGTCAGATGCCACAGAGAGGTTCCGTGGTGTGTGTCGTTGGGTAGTTCCTGGTGACTATGACAAGCGCATGTGGAACGTTGCAGGTGGAAACCAGATTGCAGTGGGCTGAGACAGAAAGTTGGTACTAAGTGTGTGCTGAGCTGTGCTGAAATAACTCGGTCGTGTCCAACTCTCTGTGGTCCCATCAACTGTAGATCAGGTTCCTCTGTCCATGGGATTCTCCAGGTCAACAATATTGGAGTGGGTTGCCATGCCCTCCTCCAGGGGATCTTCCCAACCCAGGAATCGAACCCATGTTTCCCACATTGCAGGCAGATTCTTTACCAGCTGAGCTACCAGGGAAGCCCTGGCGTTAAGTATACCACAGCGTAAAAAGAAAGTACCATTTCACGTGTGTAATACAGCGTGCGTCTGTTGGAATAAGAATCTTTCCCTTGTGTTGTCATCTTGGCATAACCCATCCTGTGACTTCTTCCATTTAGTACCCTGAGCTGATGGTCGCTTCCTACAACAACAACGAAGATGCTCCCCATGAACCGGATGGAGTAGCCTTGGTTTGGAACATGAAGTTTAAGAAAACCACACCAGAGTATGTCTTCCACTGTCAGGTAGGAGTCAGCATGGTAAAAATAACTGACGTCTCCTATGAGACCAAATGCAGCTCATGCCGCCTTGCATCTGTTTCATGTGGAGAAGCAGCACTGAGTTTAAAAATGGAATTGTTGACAATTTTGGAAAATTCCCCTACAGTAACCCAATGTTTTGGGAAAGTGGCCACCCTCTCCAAACAGTTAGGAAGCCTGCGTGGGGACTGCGTGTCATTTTCTTTCTATTTAAAACAGCGCCATGAGGATGAGTTTATAAAGGCCTCGCACTTAGGAAGAAATCTGGGTGTACCACTTCCTCTGCTTAGCAGGAACATATGTTTGCCCACCCACGTGGACATCCTCAGAGCAGTAGCATTTCAAGTTCCCTCCTCTCTCTGAAATGCAGCAGTTCAATGCGATTTCACCAGTTTTAAGTTGCTGGGCACCATCTTACTTTGCAGATAATAATACTTTGGTAGCCAGTTTAGGGGAAGGTTTATCACCTGCTTTCTTGAATTGTGGAGAAATATAGATACTGTCTCTGGTTTGCAACTAGTATATGTGCTGCCGAAGCGAGCACTCTGGTTTGCAACTAGTTTGGGATGTTTAACTGCTTGTGTCTGCTGACACATAGGTCCACTCGCCCATTGGACACAATACAGGCTGAAATTATATAACAATTGTCCTGTTACCATGCCTCTACTGAAATAATAGGCCTTGGTAGTGGCCAACATACCAAGCCTGTATTAACGCCCCTCCCCTATGATTATGCACAGGAAAATGCAAACAAACCTAGCTCGAAGATTCAGTCCCTCAGAAATTACAGTTCAGAGGTCCTGAGTGGCAGATTACTCTGAAAACAAATCCATCAGTTGAAGAGAGTAGGTAAACCTGTTGATACTTGAAAGCTTGGTGCCATTTTATATCTAAGAGCTGAGTATCGTTTTGAACTAAAATATGTTTAGACTTTAGAACATTATCAGATATAATTTGAGGAGCAAGGACTGCTGGAATAAAGGTCCTAGCTTCAACCTGATTGAGTAACCTCTAACTCTGACCATGTTTTTCTAATTTGCTATCTTAAAAACAACAAGAAGTCCTGGTCTGCATAGTAAATAACCTTTATTTTTTGAACCTTTGAAATGAGAACAGTTTTTTCTTTCTTTCTTTCTTTTTAAGATTATCAAATTTGTCAGTCTGATATGCTCTTTCTGTAAACATAGAAGCACAAAATCCTAATTTTATTCAGTTTAAAGAGTTTTGCTGAATTACCGAGAAAATACTAAAAGGATTATGGGATAAACAGAAGCACATTTTTTTTTTTTTTTAAAAACAGCACCATTTGAAGTATTTTGAATAGTGTATAAATCATATACAGAATTTTTTTAGCTTTAAGAAGTGACACACTATTGTTTTGGTCAGTGTACAAAATGTTTATCATCATCAAAAAAATGTTTATTATTAACTAGCAGTAGGTCGCCTGTGACAATAACAATTTGAGAATGTGCTTGACATTCACAACGTTGCATAGTAACAGGTCAGTAGGAGCTAATAAGTTGAGGGAAGACACAAATTCCAGAAGGTTTAAGAATTAACTGGAATTTTCAAATTTTCAAATTGTGTTTTCTGACACATTGGTTAATCCTAGCATTGACTGAAAAGAACATCCTTTCTTTTCGTCTCCTGCTATCTTTGGGATCGTTTACAAAAAGCTTCACCAGAATGCCTTTAACCTTATTTTCACTTGCTTTTTAAATGTGCTGATGTATGTGTTCTAGAAGAAGATATGCTCTTGATTTTTTTTCAAGTCAGAAGTGCTCTTAATATCCTACTGAAAGATGCTGACTAAAGTATCTCTGTATTCCCCCAAATTCCTACTACTATCTTCACTTCATCTGGTGACCAGAAGTGGAATGGGAGTTCTAAACCCTACCTAGCATTCTCACTGAGAAAAGGAAGAATTCTAATACTTTTAAACTTTGGGGTTAAGTGGCATGTGCAAAAGAACAATCTACTGATTTAAATGTTAATCACATCTAAAAAAATACCTTCACACCAACGTTTAGACTTGTATTTGACAAAAAAAACCTAGGTACCATAGCCTAGCCAAGCTGACCCATAAAATTAGACATCATACTTGGATTTCATCTCAGAGTAATCCAGGAACCTAATGCCCTTCACAACTTCTAAAGTCCTGCTGATTTCAGATCACTTTGGGCCAATAAGCAAGCATACCTAGAGTGGTCAACTTTGAAATTATTGGACATCGGGAGCTTTCCTTAGAGGTGAGAATAAAAAAGCAATAATTTGAGGACGTCTGACGTTGATCTATGAAAATAAAAAAAGAGATGAATACGTTTTGAGAATCTTCTTTTTCATTCATTGGCGTAAGCTCCTATCACCCCTTAGATGTGAAACTGTGGCTCAGAGAGCCCATGAACTTGGGTTGACGCCTGTAAATGGCAAAGCCAGGTTTGAAGTCAGCGCCTTCTTGCCTGAAGCCTGTGTATTGCCTTGTGCTGCTCTCATCAGGAATTCAGCCAGTTAACACCATGCAGGTGTGTTGCATGGGGTCGGGAAGGAGTGAAGAGAGAAAAAAAATAGGACAGAGATGTTTTTTCTATTAATCATTACAATCACCTGGGCAACTTTAAGACCTACTGATGCCTGTGTATCACCCAGAGACTCTGATTTACTGAAACCTTCACCAGGTGCCTTCATAATCTTATTTTTAGCTGTCCCCTTAAATGCTCCAATAGATGTGTTTTAGAAGAACATATACTCTTGGTTTTTTTATAAGTCAAAAGTACTCTGAATATCCTACCAACGATGTTGACTAAAATATCTCTATATTCCCCAAATTCCTACTGTTACCTTCATTTCATCTGGTGACCAGAAACTGGTCAGGGTGCTTAGCTTTACCTGCCACTCTTACTGAGAAGGGGAGAATTCTAATCCTCTGAAACTTTGGGGTTATGTGACATAAGTAAAAGAACAGTCTACTGATTTAACTATTAGTCTGGGGTGTAGTCTAGTCATTTTTGAAGCTTCCAAGTGAGTTGAATATGCAGCAATAGTTGAAAACTCCTGCCATGTAGAGGAGAGATGAATAAAGGGGGTGATCAGTGATGAGACTAGTTGACTTCTTCATTTGAATGTATGCCCATCATTCATTTTTCCCCTTTGACCCAAACTAAAGTGGAATTTCTTGCCTTTGCTCCTCTGATGCCCTGCCACCTGACCCTATTTGAGAAATTTCCTACCCAACTCCCTGCCCCTTCTTACCACGTCCCCCTCCCCCCCACACACTTATTCCCTCTGGCTCACTCATTGCTGGGATCTGCTTCGGTGGTGGTCAGAAGAGCAAGCGTTGTTTTTCCAGGAGGGGATTCAACCGTGTTGAACCTGACACAGCATGCAGTGGACAGTACCATTGCTCTTGGGATAGTGACCCAGCTTGCCATAGTTGATCTCAATGAAGTTTGAATCACCACCAAGTAAGTAACGGTGGTTGCAGAAAGAAAACACAACTGCGGTGGTCCTGAGTATGCCTGAGCTGTTGGGAGACCAAAGCAGGGTTAACTTGGACAGCCAGGGAAGGTGTGCATGACTTAGTGGCTGGAGGTGAGGTGGAGGGAAGAAGTAACAGGACAGTTTGGTTACCGTGAAGTAGCCACAGTAGTTGAGGGGGAATTTGGAGTGGCCACAGAACTAAAAATAGTGACGTGTACAAGTGTTAGCCACTCTGTTGTGTCCGATTCTTTGCAAACCCGTGGACTGTGTAGCCCACTGGGCTCCTCTGTCCATAATTTTCCAGGCTAGAATATTGGAGTGGGTAGCCATTCCCTTCTCCATGGGATCTTCCCAACCCAGGGATGAGACATGGGAGAAACCAAAGCCTCCACTCACTGACCTCTTACTGTCTTTGTTACACCCCTTCTAATCATCAGTAGAGCTTATTTACTACAGCTGGTCCTCTCTAGACACACTCTCACTGAAATTGGGTAGGTTGAACATGTTTCCACATTCTCCTATGATGTTCCAATAATTTCAAAATCAGTTTGCTTAATAATAAAGGGGGCTGAGGGTAGGGAGGAGCTGCGAGTGCCTTATGATTGTACTTTTATCAGTTTGGAATAATTGCACTAGTTGGCCATTTTTTTGCTGATCTCTTATGATTCTCCATGTTTTTGGCAAGTGTATATAGTTGCAAACAAATCCTATGACTCAGAAAAACATTATATGGGGCACTAGAAAATAAATGCACAAGATGTAGACATCAGTTCAGTGTTCCTTTGCAAAGACTGACAGGCTTTTATCCTAATGGTAAAAAGATTGCAGGAGGAAGGCTCCTTTCTCTCTGAAAATAGCAAGGCCAAATACCCTCTACTTTCGTGGGCAGTATTCTGTCTTTACTAAACTGAATTTTTAGTATGGGCTCTGGTTCTGCATTTTCTATTTTCATTTCGAGAACAGGCATCCATACTTGGAAAATATCAGTGGACTCTGCACAGAAATCAGTCCCTGGTCCCCACCACACCATCTGGCAGCGCTCCTGCTGTCTTCTGTAGTGGCTTCCCCACACTGTCATTAGATTATGCATCTGACCACCCTGCGTTGCTTACCCTGGTGTGGTCTTTCTCTTTTAAAACAGAATGAATAGAATCAGAAATACATATCTTAGAATTAGCTGCATTGAGGAAAGTGGAAAAGCTATATTTAGAGGCTTGGCTTTGTCAGAAGTTTTTATTTTTACTTTTATTTTTTTCCCGATTTGGTTTCTTTGTCCTTGGCATTCTCTTCTTGAGGATTATCTGACAATGACCTGAAATGGACATAGACCCAACGTGCTCCTGACTTGGGGGGTTGGAGGAGGAAGCAGAATGTGAAGTGGGGTTCATACCAACAAACCTCATTTGTGCCCATGTTTAAAATCCTCAGCTGACTTTTTCTGCATCTTCTCTTCTCATTAGGGTTCTATAAAGATCACAGGTGAGATTGCGGTGACAGCTTTCGCCATTGAGCGTCTGGCTCTGCGCGAGGTTGCTGCAGACCTCCGTGGGCAGAGTGCTGGGGACGTGGGCTGCTGCTGGGGGCGTGGGCACGGTGGCCAGGCAGCGCTGTTCCTGGCTCACCACGCTGCTGACTGACCGCGGGGCGCTTGGTGAGGCCTTGTTGCCAAGTCAGAGAAAGGAGGCTTCCTCAGCTCTGGTGGGGCTGTGAGGTTTACTGCAGTAAACTTGATTTCTTCTCCCTTCACTTTTTGTCCCTTCCCTAGCCCAGATGCTGGCATGTAATCTAAATAACAAAACAGCTAAGGAAACAAAGATATACACTGATTTAAAAGAATTTCCCAAGGTATTTTATGACCAGAAAAGTGTTAGAATTTGACTTAAGGATTCTTTTTTAATTAAGGGAGGGTAACTTCTTTATGGCCTGACTGATTTTTTTTTAAGTCATTTTCTAAGCTTTTTAATGTGGAAAGTAGTTGTCGCTTGGTTGTTGTTCTTTAGTCACTAAGTCACGTCTAACTCTTCTGTGACCTCGTGGACTGTAGCTTTCCAGGCTTCTCTGTCCGTGGGATTGCCGTTTCCTCCTCCAGGGGATCTTCCTGACCCAGGGATGGAATCTGTATCTCCTCCATTAGCAAGTGGATTCTTTACCCCTGAGCAACCAGGGAAGGCCTGTTACTCTGTAAAGCTGAGAAAAGAGAAGGGATGAATGAACAGAAAACAACTATATCCCAATAAATTTTTTTTAAAAAGTTTATTTGACAACTAGGGTTATGTATTCAATATGAATTCCCTGGATGACAAAGTGAGGGCACATATTAATTGGTTAGTGACTGGAGAATGAACTGCATCGACAAAGACGTGCTGACGAATGTAAGACCCAGTTTTCAAAGGCAATGCTGGGTGGAGAGACCCCAAAGAACAAACCAGCATTGTTGGTTGTACAGATGTGAGATGCATTTCGGAGTACATAATTATGGGTAATTAAGGAATTCATGTGACACAAAGGTAGAATTAAACTTTTACATAAAAGATTCAGGTTGTGAGGATCAGACAAGAACAGCAGCGGCACAGCAGTGCTATTTTGTGTCTTTAGGAAAAAGCACACGGTGACAGCTCAGTTGGTTAGAATCCTCCTGCAATGCAGGAGACCCTGGTTCGATTCCTGGGTCAGGAAGATCCACTGGAGAAGGGATAGGCTACCCACTCCACTATTCTTGGGCTTCCCTGGTGGTTCAGCTGGTAAAGAATCTGCCTGCAATGTGGGAGACCTGGGTTCGATCCCTAGGTTGGGAAGATCCCCTGGAGAAGGGAAAGGCTACTCGCTCCAGTATTCTGGCCTGGAGAATTCCATGGACTGCATGGAGCTGTAAAGAGTCAGATGTGACTGAGCGACTTTCACACGGGAATTTACATGTACGTGCTGAAATGAAATGCAGACACTCGGAAACTCTTCGTTTATGCCAATTGAGTATGACTGGTCCGACGAGAGAGGCTTGAGCTAGACACTGATTCTTATTAAATCAAACAGCAGGAGCTTTTCTGTTTCTGTTTCAGCCCAGGAAGCTGGCAGCAGAGAAACTGCCTTGCCAGCTTTCACTCTCTATCTGCCTGCTTTCTAGAATCTTCTCTAAGAATTAACATAAGAGGAAGCAAAACTGATCGTTTGGATATATCTAGGGAGATTACTAGTTATCGGCAGGATTATAACAGATAGTATCAGGGGCGATTCTTCATCTGAAAAGAGCATTGAAGGTGCTGTATTCTTGACAAGTGACCAAGCGAGATATTAGTACATGCAGGGGATGCTTAAAAGAGAGTCCATCTTTGAACAACTTATTTTTAAATTGTTTCCTTTGTCTTGTCATGGCATATTGCAAGTGATCAAGCTGACATTTAATACTATTACAAAGCTACCTAAGATTTCTTAACGTTTGCTCTGCCCCATTGATGTGCACATAGATTGGAGGCGTAGAACTCGGTGTTGAAGATTTCATTCAGTCCCCTAATTGCCCTTCTCTCATCTTGCCACGCACTGTGCTAAAATGGTCTGAACTGGGCTTTCTGCAGTAGGGCTTCATCAAGGAATTGCCCAAGAATCACTGGTGCTGTGCAGTGAGCGCCAGGAAACAGCATGAGTGAGCTTTTCAGCCTTTAACTCTGCTTGTCCTCACCACCCTGCCCCCTGGCCATTCACGGAGGTCCCAAGAGTTTGGTCTAATGGAAATGAGTGTTATCAGGAGTCTGGCTTGAATGCCAGAGGGCATCTGTTTACCTCTTGGGATTATTGCGAGGATAAATGAGGTAATATGGAAAAGGAAATGGCAACCCACTCCAGTATTCTTGCCTGGAGAATCCCATGGACAGAGGAGCCTGGCGGGCTACAGACCACACAGTCACAAAGAGTTGAACATGACTGAGCATACACACAAAGGAGATAATAGGTGTGTTGGTGTGTTCAGGCTGTCATAATAATGTATCACAGACTGGGTGGTTTAAAAAGCAGAAAACAATTTTCTCACAGTTCTGGAGCTGGTAAGTTTAAGATCAAGGTGCTAGCCGTTAAGGTTTCTGGTGAGGACTCTCCCTAACTTACAGGTGACTGCCTTTTAGGTCCGTCTTCACGTAGAGAGAGAGTGTGAGCGAGCTTTTCTCATATTTTAATACCATGACAAGGGCCTCCCCATCATGACCTCATTTAAACCTAATTACCTCCCAAAGCACCCGTCTCCAGATAACATCACTCTGAGTTTTAGGACTCCAACATACTTTTAGGAGAACATAATCCCATAGCAATAGGTGAACATGCTTTGAAGAGACAAAAGCGTTCTCTTTAAATTTGGTTGTTTCTCTATTACTGCATGATAGTCCATCTCATGGAAAGAAGCTTAAACTTTGGTATTCTTATTTTCCTTACTTGAGTATTTTGTAGAGAAATCTCACCTTACATGTTCATCCATTCCTTTATTCATACATTTACAGGGTACCCACTATGGCCAGATCCTCACAGCAACAATAGGCTAGAGCTGAGAAGAGGCCATCCCCTCCCCACAGGAACTCTTCCGCTGGCCCCAGTCCCCGCCTTGCCCTCATTCCCATCACCTGGCCATCTCGTCTCATTAGATCCCTGTGTGTGCTTTTTATTTACAAGAGCCAAGTGAAGGGGAAACCCGAGGCAGTTACAGAGTTCTACCCTCCTGGTTACTGAGGCCTAGGAGACAGCTGGGGCTTCCCAGGTGGCTCAGTGGGTAAAGAAACTACCTACAATGCAGGAGATGCCAGAGATGAGGGTTCGATTCCTGAGTTGGGAAGATCCCCTAGAGGCGGGCATGGCAGCCCACTCCAGTGTTCTTGCCTGGAGAATCCCCTGGACTGAGGGGCCTGGTGGGCTACAGTCCACGGGTTGCAGAGTCGGACATGTCTGAGCGGCTGACCACAGCACCGGAGACAGTTGGGGCTTTCCTGGAGGCTCAGCGGTGAAGAATCTGCCTGCAATCAGGAGACCTGGGTTTGATCCCTGGGTCCGGAAGATCCCCTGGAAGAGGGCCTGGCAACTCACTGTAGGACTGTTGCCTAAAGAATCCCATGGACAGAGGAGCCTGGCAGGCTGCAGTCCACAGGGTTGCAAAGAGTCAGACACAACTGAGCAGCTGCGCATGCAAGGGCAGGAGGCAGGGTGTGTAAAGCACTCACCGTTAGGCACCAAAGGGACCTGTAATGTCAGTTGTCTACTATGCAGGACTGACGTTCTAAGTGTGTAACTATCCATGCGGTACCATCCAGAGAGCATGGATTAGGGCCCCCTTTGTGTTAACATCTCACCTTTAGGTGCTGAGTGGGGGAGATCATGGCTGAAGGGTGCAAGAGGGAGGGTGCAGGGGTCTGGTAGCAGGGCAGCACTGGGAGGATGTGGGGAAGAGCACTTTTCTAACAAGTACCAAGTCATCTCAGTGTTTGGGTAAGTGGTACTATTGTGTTGTGACACGTGGCTGCAATAGAAGCCCTGCTAGTCTGCTTCCCCCGTATACAGATAGGTACAGATGCCTCGGTTTTCATGGCTTAATTACACGGATTGCCTCAGGCACAGGCTTCATAAGAGTACCCACGGTCTCTGCTATAGTTTGTGTGTGTGTGTGTGTGTGTGTAGTCGTGTCCGACTCTTTGCAACCCCATGGCCTGTATCCCTCCAGGCTCCTCTGTCCGTGGGATTCTCCAGGCAAGAATATTGGGGTGGGTTGCCATTCCCTCCTCCAGGGGATCTTCCCAACCCAGGGACCGAACCTGTGTCTCCTGCATTGGCAGGCAGGTTCTTACCACTAGTAAAGAAGCCCGCCATAGCTCATGTGGCTGCACTGATTTCCGTAGACATGTGCTGGCCCTTTGCCACACTGAGCTCACTCTGTAGACCCTGGAGTGAGAATAAGGATCATGAGACTGACCCATGTGCTACTTTCATCTGAGACCAGATTAACATCGCTGTTAAGAGCTGTGTCTCCTAAAGACTTGGGCTCCAGTCCCCCTGGTTGGGGCATCTGTTCTCTGAAATCTCAGATTGTGCTTTTCCTTTATCCTACAGTATTTTAATACAGGCAGAAGCAGGTTGAAATTATACCAGGTGGTCTCAAAGGAAAGAGAAGTCTCAGAGAGGCACCCCTCTCCCTCAGAGGTGTGGGGGTGGAGGATGTCACTGCAGGAAAGGAAACAGCAGCCAGAGATGGATTGTGATGAGGTCCGAGACCATGTTAGTGCCCCTCTGCCCCCTGCAAGAGTGTTCTGGGCTGCGACCACCTCTGAGGCAGTGCCTCTGCATTGCTTTGGCGTCCTTATGTTCTAAACACAGACTTAGTCTGGACTTCAGCCCATCTGTTTCTAAAGGATAGACATCTTCCCCCTTTATGAGCTTCAGTGAAACCTTCCCGTTTGTGTATGTCTTTAGGTTGCCTTATACTGTTGGATGAAAGGGGTGGAATAAATACAGGTACAGTCACATTCCCCAACAGTCACATCATTATTATAATTTATTTTGGGCAGTGGCTCTTAGCAAAAAAAAGGGGACCTGTCCATTTTTTATATTAAGTTTTGAGATTATCTAAAAGCATTATTATCAAAGAATTTGTGGAAGGAGAATCAGCATCCTT